GGGAGGGAGGGAGGGAGAGAGAGAGAGAGAGAGAGAGAGAGAGAGAGAGAGAGAGAACTGTTAAAGACAGAATACCCTTCACTTCTGTTTGCAGTAAGCCGCACTGCATTTGTATGGTTTTGTCTGAAATACATAGACCACCAGGAGCACAACCTCGTTCCTGTGGGTTATAAGGGGAGCTGAGAGAGTGTGGCTGGCCTTCCTTTCATCTGCCCTCCAGGACTGTCACCCAAATAGTCTTAGACTCACCAAATAACTTGTATTTATGCTCATAATATTGTGCCCCATGCAGATTTAGAAAAAAGAGTTATTTCAGTGTGTGTGTGTGTGTGTGTGTGTGTGTGTGTGTAGGCTAGAAGAATGCATTGGATCCCCTGGAGCTGGAATTTCAAGCAGATGTGAGCTGCCTCCTGATGCGGGTGCCGGGACTCAAACTCGGGTCCTCTCTAAGACTTCACACACTCTTGACTACTGAGCTACCCATCTCCCCGGCCCTCCTCTCTCCACTGTTTTGTTTGTTTGTTTGTTTTTGTTTTGAGATATGGAGCCGAAACTGGCCTCAGGCTGTGGGTCCCGAGTGTGTGCCTCCCTCTTTCCTTCACAGTAGCCCTGAGCACCCATGCAGCATTTCTACATAGGCGCGTACAAATGCCAGTGGGGGATGGGAATAACCCAAAGTGCAAGATAGAGTCCAAGGCCACGGATGCCCCATCCTGTCTGCACAGGAGAATCATTAAAGAGTCCTGTTCTGGAGCCGTGCCCAGGCAGGGCCTGGTTCATTCAGTCTGTCTGGGTGGAGCCCAGGCATTTAGTCCTTGTTAAACCACCCTCAGTGGTTCTAATGTGCACCCAGAGGTAAACCTGGCCAGCAATGAGATACACATGACTTTCTCGTAAATATTCCCACAAGGTCAAAGCCCTCGGTGCTCCTCTAAGCTCATCTATCCTGCAGAGTGCTGCTTTGAGATCTAGCTCTTTTAGGCCTCGGGTGTTCCTGGAAGTTCATGGGCATTTCTAGGCCTTAAGATAGGGTGACAAACCTCCCTCACTCTGCATGTTTCACCAGATGAGTGGATCCTTTCTGCTCTCTCACTTCTGTTTCTGTTCTGTGGTTCCCAGACAGTGTCTCCCAGGCTAGCCTCGGGGATTTTTGCATGCATGATCTCTGTATGAGTAGAGTCTCTTTTCTTAGCCTTGAACTGAGATATCCTGTGTCTTCAGCTTCCCAAGCACTTACTTGGGATGTGTACCAGGTTTTCATGCTTTCAGAGAGGTGTACTTTCCCACCTAGGTAGCAAAGAGGAGAGGAGGGCCTGAGACAGTGGTGCTGGAGGGAAGGGGCTGTTGGACTCCTTGGTGATTTTCCAAGCACCATAAATTGCAGGTAACAATGGGAATATGTGAACCAAAGAGGCTTTTTTTGTTTCAGAATCTGACTCCTGTTTGAGCAATTATGATCAGCAGTGATCTGATTGGGACTGAAATATCTACCATTAAGATTATGATCTATGAACTAGAGGCATTTAACCTATGAGCACATAGGTGTTTAAAGAAAGACATGCTAAGCTCTGTGCATTCTTTGACTTGCTCAGACACAGGGATCACTGAAAAGGAGACATCCCGATCGGTAGAATGGGATGCACCAGAAGTCTCAGCTCTGTGACCTACGCATCACCTTTTCTGCTTTAAACTCAGCTTCTTCATCAGTAAATTGGGGATTACATACCTACCACAAAGGCCTGTGGTGAGGGATTAAATCAGATAGTGCATGTGAAAGTTCCTTTGTGAGCCTCCAAAGCACAGTATAATTATTAGCTGTGACTATCCATTTGAGAAACTGGCTTTCGTAATGAACTGCTCAATTACCCCATGGGATGTGCTTCTGTGGGGGCCAACCTGGGGCTGCAGTGGCCTCTGGAATGCCTGAGATGGGCAGGCAGCCTGCTCAAGAGGGAAGGTCTTGCCCTTGGCTGCAAGCTTATCCTTTCTCCTCTGATCTACTGTTGAGCTCAGAGAAATTATGAAAGGGGCGTGTGTGCATTCGTGTGTGTGTGTGTGTGTGTGTGTGTGTGTGTGTGTGTGTTGCATGGAAAGCCAAACTTAGTTTTGGAACCTGCTGGTGGGATTGGGGTGAGGGAAATGAACAGCTCTAAGTAGAAGGGACATATCTGTAAGCACCTGGAAAGTTCCATGCAAGGAGTTCTTTATTTTCTTAGATGGTATTCTGTTCCCTGCTTGGTGAAACAAAGGTTTAATGCCTGACTAAATTTGTGTCAGGCCTCTGAGCCTTCACTTATCTGTTGCTGTGTATGTTGGAGATTGATGCCTGGTCTTTCAGATCTCAGAGCCTGATATAGGTTTGAAATCTGAAGTCTACAGAAGGGTTTCTGGAGGCTTTTAGTAGTGGAGAACACAGAAACACATTCCTGACTACCTACTGTCTGCATTAAGCTCACTAGAGAGAACAGTTTCAGATTCTCACAGTCTCAGAAGTAGGGATTGAGTCTCAAAGTCTCAGAATTAGGTCCCCTGGCTCCTTTATTTGAACAACTGTCAAAGTCCTGTAGCTGGAAGAATGTCCTATGAGGTATGTCTGGAGAAATGGGTTTCCCCAGTCAGTGCCCCATAATGCTCTAGCAGAGTAGCAAATGCTCAGACACAGGAAGTACCCATAACTTAGGGACTTTGTAACATATCCACTGTTCCATTTTACTAGTCTTGTGTGGCTTCCTATTCACAAATGACTGACTTTTGTTCAGTTACCACCAGACCCTCTTTAGGGATGCTGAGGTTCAAAGAAGGCTGTGGAGCCAGGCACACTGAGAGCAGAGCCTTGTATCTATTGCCCTCTGTGGAAAGAGCTGGTTGAGTGACCAGTGCTCTGTATGCACTGGTCTTGCTCTGTCTTGCCAAGATCTTGGCAGAAGACACTGGGTACCATTTTCCAAGTACCAGTGAGGTACTGGTCTGGGTACCAAGGTCAGCTTCCCCAGTTTCCTAAAACCTTCTAAGAGCAGACATCCTCCTTACTGTCAGTGTTCAGCTGAGGAAAAAGTCACACGGATTGGCAGGTCACCCGTCCAGGCTTACATACACTGTAATACATACATACACTGCAATACACACATACACTGTAATACACACATACACTGTAATACACACTGGTCTTGAGAGCTACACCTGGCAGACAGACTTCAAAATCTATGTCAAATCAAAGTGAATCTCTCAAGACTGATATCCTCTTCTCTACACCCATTCCCATTGGCTACGGCCACCTGGGGTGGGGGAGCAGATTGCCTCTCTGCATGGCCATATTGCTTTTATTTTGAATCTGGATTTCTTATAAGCTGCCCAGTTGCAGACAGCTCAGCGCAGAGAAGAAACCCAGCCCGTGTCTGGACTGACCCGCTTTTTAGAGACATGCTAAGTGAATTGAGAGCTGGAACTCCTTAATCCTTGATTACTTCAGCCTGATGGCACCGCTGCTACCCTATACTAAGTGGACAAAGTGGGTTAATCTGGCTTTAGCACCCAGCAGAGCCGTGAGGAGCTTCCTCTAAGCCAGGCGAAGTGTGCTCGTGTGGAACTCCCAGTGGGCTTGTCCTGGAAGGAGCTGCCCTCTCCGGAAAACCAAACTTTCTGTCTTGTGTAATAAAGTTTATGTTGTCACTTCTAAAAAATGTGCTCTGATTACTGCCTCAGGCAACATGATGGCTTGAAATTAGACATTTAGAATGTTCTACGGAGAAGGAAATATTTACCAAAACAGCAGCAACAACAAGATGTCTCTTTTTTTATTTCAGCTTTGTGCTCTGGCAAAAATCAGTCAGAATCTCTACCCCCACGGCTAGTGGGTGACTTTAGATTTGTGAGCAAATATATTAGCTACTTATTTAATGCTTAACTTTAATATTTAGTATTTAATAAGAGCAGACACCCTCCTTGCTGTCAGTGTTCAGCTGAGAAAAAAGTCACACGGATGGGCAGGTCACCTGTCCAGGTTATATACACTAATACACACTGGTCTTGAGAGTGAAACTGTCAAGAATCATAAACATGGGATAATAACAAGGCCAGAGTGATGTTATCAGGCACGAGCCAGCCAAGATGAGCATGTCATGCGTGCTCTAAGCATATTGATTACTGATGGTTTAGGTTTTCATGAAACCTCCATGAGGTAGCTATTACACTCTCCATTATCACAGATGATGAGAAGCTACCCACCCCACACACACACACACACATACCCCAAATCAAGGTGACAAGCTACAGGGCCAGGAGGAGTTGAACCTAGGCCAGACCTCCAGACTCACATCCTTCGAGTGTTAAGCTAAAGCATTGTGCCTCCGAAATCCCTCCTTTAGTTCTCTCTGCAACTCAGCAGGTGGGTGGAATTATTCCTGTTTTGCACATTAGGGTGCCAAAGCTCAGAGATGTTAAATAATTCATCTTCTGGTCACACAGCTATGAAGCAGTAGAGAGGGATTCCCAGTCCAGCTCACTCATACCCTAAAGTGATAGGGACACTATTCACAGTGTGTGTGTGTGTGTGTGTGTGTGTGTGTTGGTGGATATGTGAAGGTCAGGTAACCTGAGTTCACGGTGCCATTTTTGAGGAAAGACCTAATCAAGGCTGTGTGGGCCCATGTGAAAACCAGATATTTTTGAGTTAACTTAGGGAGAGGCAATGCCTACACCAGCACCTCAGGGTAATTGGCCTTGCTCTTCTGCCTAAGGGGAAGGAGCTTCAGCTGGGAGCTATTTGGCCTTCAAGTCGGGGTGGGGGTGGGGTGTAGAATATTAATACACACTAACTCTAAAATCCGTTGCTTTTTTTGTTGTTGTTGTTTCAAAACAAAATAAACCGGCCTCAATAACTAGTAAGAGGGAACCGAGTTAGATGCGATATTGAGCCCAAAAGTTAAAGAAACTCCACTTTTTGACCCCAGATTGTTTCTTTGCCTCCAACAGGGACCTGATGCCCAGAACCCTTGAGGGACAGATCACCATGGAGAAGACGCCCAGCTACTTTGTGACCCGGGAGGCACCCGCGCGCATCTCGGCCATGTCCAAGGACACCAAGCTCATCGTGGTAGTGCGCGACCCGGTGACCAGGGCCATCTCAGACTACACGCAGACACTGTCCAAGCGGCCGGACATCCCCAGCTTCGAGAGCCTGACGTTCCGCAACCGCAGCGCGGGCCTCATAGACACGTCCTGGAGCGCCATCCAGATCGGTCTGTATGCCAAGCACCTGGAGCCCTGGCTGCGCCACTTCCCGCTCGGCCAGATGCTCTTCGTGAGCGGCGAGCGGCTGGTCAGTGACCCGGCCGGCGAGCTGCGCCGCGTGCAGGACTTTCTGGGCCTCAAGCGCATCATCACCGACAAGCACTTCTACTTCAACCAGACCAAGGGCTTCCCGTGCCTCAAGAAGGCGGAGGGCAGCGGCAAGCCTCACTGCCTGGGCAAGACTAAGGGCCGCGCGCACCCCGCCATCGCGCGCGAGGTGCTGCGGCAGCTGCGGGACTTTTACCGTCCTTTCAATCGCAAGTTCTACCAGATGACCGGCCGCGACTTCGGCTGGGACTGAGTCTCCCCTCGCAGCTTATCTATTGAGAGAGAAGAGTATATGTATGTAAAATGTACAGAAATCTATTTTATAATAATTTATTTTTAATTCACGAGCAATTAATTCACTAAGCTGCCTAGCCACGATCTGCAGAGAGTTTGAATCACGGTCTGTTAACATTCCAAAGTGTTTAACTCCGCTATTTTGTTCTGTCCCTCACAATCAATGGTGCTTCCGTGTTCTCCCCCCTCCCCCCTCCCCGCCCCGTATTTAAGAAGAAGAAAAGCACAACTTGAGAATTTTTGTTACGGGTATTCAGCCTTCAATCACCTTGGGTCTTCCACCTGCTATCTCCTTGGGTCTTGGCTGCCTCAGCTGGTTGTGGTATTTTCTTGCCTGGATACTTCCTGGAAGAACTGAGCAGCCTCAGCGTGCTGTATTCTGAAGGTGAAATTCACTTAAGCAGTTCATTACCCTCAGTGATGTAGCACCAAGGTGCACTTCTCCCGCCTCCCTTACAGGGATGTTCTTATGACCCCGACTCTCCTCCTGTTCTACCCTCTGTCCATTATTCAGCAGAAAGTGTATGCAAACACTTGATCCCTTTCCCAGGTCCCATGAGTGAGAGGCTTGGGTGCTGCTTTACAAAAAAGAAAAAAAAAAGGGTGACATCTCTTTTGCATAAGAGGGTGCCACACTCCTTTCTTCAGTCAGTTATGCTATGACACACCAAAGAGTTTCCCAGGATTCCATACATAGCCACCGGCACAAACCTAGGATGCTGATGTTGAGACCCATAGGGGTCAAATGTATCCTTTGACACACAGCATTTATAGAGGTGTGGGTATGTGTAGACCCACCTAGTGTTGGGCAGGAAGCTCATGGCCTCAGTAGAGATAGGACAAGCAGCCCAGCAGAGGAAGGGGATGCCCAGCATTGCAGACAAATGCCTCTGAATTCTTAGCCCATCCCAGAGATTATGGCATGGTCTGTAGGCAGTGTCCACAGCAGGGTTTGAAGGATGGTCCTGTTGCACCCAGGCTAGGAAAGCTGGCTGCTTGCTTGTTCAGCTTCCTCTTAAATAGTGGAGGCTTAGCAGAGAAGTCACCAGCTGTGATGCTACTATGCAGACCATACTCCTTGAACCTCTGTGTTGGGAGGACACTGGAAGGTCCTTTGGCTAGTTAGTGGCAGTTGGATAACTGTACTCACATGACATCATGATATATTCAGTCAATCCTCACTTTCTTAAACCAGAATGCCTCTAACCCCAAAAGGATTGGCGTCTGAGTTAGACTTTCATCAAGAATGAATAGATGGTTGAAATGATGGCATTGCGATATTTACAGAGGATTTCCTTTCTTTTCTTTCTTTCTTTCTCTCTTTCTTTCTTTCTTTCTTTCTTTCTTTTTTCTTTTCTTTTCTTCGTTTTTTTGGACGCTTTATAGGCTAAATTGACAGGATGAACAAAGCTACAAGGAAAGAGAAGATATACTGTCTTTACAAACTAGTGAGGGATATCTCTAGGGATATTTTGATAACCAAATTTGTGGTTTTCTACAAGTTATAGCCCAGCTTGAATTAACTTATTCTGGGCAACAAAATGGTCCCTGGAGTATGTTCATCCCTTAGATGTTACATCCATTTCTTCTTCTTCTTTTTTCTTCTTTCTTCTTCTTCTTCTGCAGAGCTGGGGGTAGAATCCTGGGCCTATTGGACACTAGGCAAACACTGAGCCACATTCCCCAGCCTGTTTCACAGTCATTTGCTCATTTTTCTTCTGTCCGTATTTAGTAGTGTATTGCCTGCATTTAGGCCAACCCCACAATGCCAGCATAATCTCCTGGCTGACAGTGTGTGGAAACGCCTGCGTGCAAGGTGCTCACCAGCCTGGACTTTCCTGTACAGAAGCCTGCTTGACATCAGCACAAGGGTATCTCCCCTCACATCAGCAGAATCTCGTTCACAGGCAGAGTCAGTTGTCAAAGACCTTCACCAAGGCTTTCTGGCTGCTCCCGGAGTCTGCCGTAACTCATGACGTGGAAGAGCAAGGTGTTCGGAGAATGGTACATAGCCAAGTGGGAGGGAAAATGTGTGAGCCTTCCTGCCCTCTACCCAAGCTGGACATTTTTTTTATTAAGTTGTTTATTCTTTTCTTGAGACTATAACAAGAGCAGGGCATGTTGAGGTAGACAAAGTCATTTAGTCATGAACACTGAGGTGAGTCAGCACTCTGTTCTGGGTCAAATCCTTGGATCTGAGCAGATGTCGATAATTAGTGCTGGCGGAGCAGGGTGAGATTTTCAGTGTTAGTCAAATAAATCAAACAACATGTGCACCTCTTCATCAGGCCCCATTGCTTGTAGTCTCTGGCTGATCGGATGCTGCGTCTGTCCAAGATGCCCCTTCATCATGGGATAGTCGTTATACACCAGGGCTTTTCTCAGAGGAGTTAGGCAACATGAAGAATTACGCCTTAGGTCTGTCTCTTCCTGTACTGGCCATCTGCAAGGACACCGAGCTTCACTCTGAGCTGCTAGGAGACAGACACCAGTTCATGTCTTGGCAGTTTGTCCCTCCATGTGTTTGAGGTTTTTTTTTTCAGTGTCTAGGAAAGCTCTGGCATATTTCTGGTGTACTTTATTTGTGAAAATTTTTCATTTCTTTCCTTGCTTGAAAACAAAGAAAAATCCACAAAAACTTAAGAGGGTTTTCTTTTTTTTTTTCGTGTTTTGTTTGTTTTTTAAATTCCTATTCATGGAAAGCCTTCTCTTTGGGGATGTTTGCACGTAGGTGTGTGTTTGGTTTACTCTGTAGCACCTACAAAGGCATTTTGGGCAGAGTGACTATGGAATAAACTCTTCATTGGGAGGTGGAAAGATGTTCTGGGGGGAGGGGACTCTTTGGGAGTCATTCTGAATGACAGATACACTTTAGTCTTTGTGAGAAACCTAATTACAGATCCTGCCTGGCTGTTCTTCTAAGAACCAGAAATGGAGGCTCCAACAAGTCCTTGCGTATCAAAGGTGTTGATGAGGACACCGGGGCTCAAGTCTCTTTTCAGTTTTCCATTACAAATGGTTAATGAATTTTGAAGGTGTGGTTAGTTTTTATTTCATTTTTATAATATTAATTTATGACTGAGTTTCATTCAGCCCAGTAATCAAAAATGCTGTGCAAATTCTTGCAGTATGTCTTCTATAACATGGATGTTAGAATAGCCAATATGTACAAAAAAAATTAAATCAAGTATTTTGTCCTATGTATAACACAAATTAATTTTACACAGAGAAAGATGTTTCTAGGAAAATGAAATTCTGGTAATTCATACTTTTTCTTTGTATGAACAAATAAAATATATTTTACCAACATATGGATATGTTCCTGTTTTGCTGTGTATATCAGTTGGAAAAGGTGGTGATATTTTTCAATAACTTGTCACTTGTGGGCATGTTTACACACTCTCAAAGACAGGGAGATAATTTGGGGGGGGGTATTTGTTGTTTCTGTTTTTGAGACAGTCTCACACTATAGCCTAGGCTGGCTTCAAACTCACAGTGGTCCTGCACCAGCCTTCTGAGTGCTGGAATTACAGGCTCTGCTGATTTTTCAGCCTAATTTGTTATTACATTAAAATAATTCTGTTTAGTGTGTGTGTGTGTGTGTGTGTGTGTGAGAGAGAGAGAGAGAGAGAGAGAGAGAGAGAGAGAGAGAGAACCTGCAGTATCTGATTCTCTCCTATCCTGTAGGATATCTATGGCTGGGTTTCTTTCTCACATCTGCTGGATGTGCCCCTGTTAAAGCGGGACCCTTACCTGTGAGGTAAAAGTAGACTGGACAAGACAATGGAGATCTTCAGTTTTTCCAAAACCACCTTAGATTTCTTCCTGACATAGCATAGCATCTGCGTGATTATAGGTTTTTACATTAAAAACAAACAAACAAAAAAAACCCAACTGATTCTTATTATACTTTAAATTTTAAAACAAAAACCTGTTTTATTTTTCCCAGATCCAGAAGTTTGCCTGCTGCACTAATATTGCTTCAGAGTAGCATTTGTGTGCACAGAGCCTTCTGTCTATCGCGTGCAAACACAAATGTGTGTCCCAGGTGCTGTGTTGGCTCAGCAAGGATCCGCCTTACATGCAATTGCTGTTTAAGCAAAATGACTAATCAAACCAGAACTATCTGTCAAGGTGATTTTCTATAGACGGATTGTTCTCTGCAGAAAAAAAAAAATGTAGGCAGTGCACACAGATGGTATTAGTGTTGTTTGCAAATAACAGATTCAGGGCTCCAACTTAGGAGTTAATGCACTTTGACCCAGGAATTGAGAGAGGGGACTGTCAACATGGTTTTAGGATAGGGAAGAACTGCGGTTCTCAGAACAAGGGCAGTCATCCTTGCTTTTCTAAGAATAAAAGTCACAGTGGAACTAGTTTTTCTTCCTTCACAAAACCTGAATAAGTAAACCCAGTAATGACCACTTGGCAACATTAGGATTGCTTAGTTTCTCCTGTCTTTGATCAAGACATAAAATTGACAGCCTTCAAAGTTACAGCTTCCTCAGATATGACACACTATACTCAAGTGTAGTTATAGAAGAAAAACCTTAATTTAATAAACCTTGTTATGTTTGCTTGATTTTGTGTGTGTGTGTGTGTGTGTATGTGTGTGTACAGCTCAGAATATAACTTGAAGAAGTTCTTTCCTTCTACCACATGGGTCCTGGAGATGGAATTAAATCATCTGACTTGATTTCTAAAGGCATATTAAAATTTTAAGTGGAAATACATTAGCACTCATCACTCAAGTGTGATAGACCACTACCACAATCTCAGTACCTGGGGTGCTGAAGTGAAACTGTAGATTTGAAGTCAACATGAACCCTACCAAACAAATGCCTGCTCCCCAAGGATGTAATAAAGCATGTGAAAAAGAATAATATTAATTTTTGCATAGACAGTGTGGCAGAAACCCCATTAGTCTTGGTTGAGCTCACTATTCCTTGCACTGTTGGCAAAATGGACACTTGATGGAACTCAGGATCTTGCTTGAAGAACAGAAGAGTATTGAAGGGAATCGCCTGCTCCCCAGTGTTATTTAGGGTTGAACCCAGGCATGCATTAAACAGGATCACCCTTCCCTCAGTCATCTGAATATTCATTCAGCTTTCCCATATTGGAAAACACAGACTCTCACAAAGAGGGAGTAGAGGCACAGAGATGGAAATTACAAAGCTGTTTGGGGGAAGGGGGCGAGAAAAGAGGAGGCAAGTTGGTCAGGCAACATTCATGTTTGTAGAGAGCAGGCCACTAGCAATACGCCATGAGGTGACCTGTGTGTCAACATTTCGATTCCACGTCAGTTTCTACAGAGAGGCAGTGAGGTGGGCGGGCAGTCATGTACTCATTAACCAGTGCAGGTTAGAGTAGAAGTGTTTGACCTTGGGCAATCGATAACCTGACCTTAATCCTAAAGTTCAAGCAGATCCGAGACCGTTTTACATGTATAATCTCTAGGAGCTGAGACCCTAAACAGGTAGTCTTCATGATATTCTTCTAAAAATCTGACACCCAGAAATGCTTCAGAAAACAAAACCCTTTCAGCACCAACATGAAGTCCCAAGGAGATGATCCCACGGGTTCCCTCATGACTGGTCATCATCAAAACAAGGCGGGAGAGTGGTATGTGTCTCATGCAATTATCTTCAGGCTTTGGAACATAAGTGATATTATTGTTTCGATCTGTTTCACTTCTAACATATTCCACCCTGCAGACACAAATATCCCTAAATATGAGAAACACTCACAATTTGATGTGTACTTTTAACCCCAAATATTTCAGATAAAGTTCTCAGTCTGTGTTGAAAGAGCATCTTCATGATCCTGGTGGTTCTCAAAGTGAGATTTCCCAATGATGTCAGTACAGCTGGGAAATGTGTCAGAAATGTTCATTTTTGGCCCCTCCTCAGACCTCCTGAATCTTCTTTTTTTTTTTTTTAATGTTTGAACAAGCTCTCCATTGCTTCCATTACATATCTGATGAAAACTGACTTGAGGAAGTGAGGGTTTGTTTGACCTACAGTTTAGGGGAGGGACTGTGGGGTCAGGAGCACAGAGTCAGCTCTTACACTGTGCCTGCTGTCAGGAAGCAGACAGGCGGTGGGTTGGATTATAAACCCTCAAAGCCTTCCCCCAAGTGACCCATTTCCTTCAGTGAGGCTCACAAAGATCCCTCAACCTTCTAAAATAGTGCCATCAGCTGGGGAACAACTATTCAAACACATAAACCTGTTGGGGACTGTTCACAGTCAAATTACAAGGTTATTTTGACAAAAGTTTAAGAACCCCAGGACTTGAGCATGGACCTTATATCATGCTGAAAATAGAAAGCTGGTATTTTAAAATCAAGTATGTTTTCCTCTGTTACATGATTTTTATCAAAAAGGGAGAGGACAGTGAACCATAAAGTCACCCATTATAACTCTGAGCCTCCTTTACGGAGAGCTCCTTGACTCTCACCCTTCTGAGAGTGCCCAGAGCTCTTGGCTGCCAAGGCTGTCTGTACGATGTGTGTTCAGAACTGCACTGAAGCAGAACTATGCACTATGGGGGCTCTCCGAAGAGATTTTGTTTTCCCTTACTTTGCAGAGTCAGACTTTCAGGAGTACATCCAGTGTCTTGTGGATTATCGGTAACTGATCATTATTTTATTCTATCCCCTTGCAACTGAACACATCTTGGTCACTTACTGGTTATTCAAAGCAGCATAATCCCTGGTCCTTCAGTCATCTTCCAGGGTAATAAGCACACACCTACCTGCAGTTCCCAGCCCTGGCATGTCCTTTAACTCTCACTCATTATCCTTATGTGCAAACGATGTCAAAATACATAACAGCACAATGTCAAGTGTAGTCATGCTATAGATTCACTGCTAGCCTCCAGCTGAGGATATTGGATGCTCTCATTTCTATCCAATACTCTATATTTTGTGATCTAAAAGTGTCTGCATGGCCTCCGTGGGCTAGGAAATTTTTGAGAAAAGTGACTGGCAAGGAATTGAGGCTATTCCATGCAACCTGCTTTTATCCCTTTAAAATATTCCCTTTCCCCACCCCCATGGCTGCCAGTTCCTTCCTTAGTATCTCTTTTGCTGTGTAGAAACCATTTATAATTCATCCAAAAGATCCTGACATTAGAGCAACTGGGACTTCCCTGATTCTCTTGTGATATCATCTCTAAGAGAAGAGGGGCTGCAGCCTCACTTGGAGCAAGAAACTGCAAGAAGTTTCTAGATAACCCCATGAAAGGAGGTCGAGGCTGTAGGGAAGCTGGGAGGAGCATTTGTGAGAGATGGTTTCCCCATCAACTGGAGCAAGAGTAGGTCAGAGTCCAGTTGGTTCATTCATGGCATAAATTTGCCAGAGGCCAGCTACACTAGGGATATGCATCCTGCCTCAAGGAATTTACTTTCCATGGTGAGGTAGAAGGACCCATAAATGATGTCACTGAAATGCCTTGTGACTAGGGCTGCAATGGGGTGTAACCAAGTACTGATCATGTTCTCTCCGTAACAATATTGAATGAATATACTTCCTGGATTGGCTCAGGTGATTGCAAGGGCTAGGACGTTTTACTACAGGTCATTGGAATAAGGAATGGGTTATGTGGCTCAATCTACAAAGACACAAACTTCAGAAACAGGGTTGTGGAGGTAAGGGTACAGCCAATGCTGCCTTCTCTGGCCCAAGTCTAAAAGCCTGGGAGGCCCTGGAGGGACACTGACACAAATTCTAGAGGGCAAAGGATCTGCTGTCTGATGTGCAAAGGCTGGAGCCAGGGAAACTCATCTGGAAAGACAAGTCAGACAGAGTTCCTCTCAGTTCACTTATCTCTTCTACAGAGACTCCCAGCGGAGTGTCCCAGTGTAGTGTGCATCCACCGAAGGTCAGGCCTTTCACCTCGGTTTGCTGATCCATGTGACAATCTTCTCTGGAGATGCAGGTATGCTTACCAGCTGCCTAGGCTTCTCTCTGGTCAGATAGAACTAACTACAGGTCACTCAACAGAGATACAGAATAGAGCCTTCCCAAAAAAGGAAAGGGGAAGGTTAAGGAAAAAAGCCTGCAGGTCCGTTGCAGCCCAGCCATGTTGAGCTCCAAAGCTTTCTCTGTTTATGTACTTGGTGTCATTTACTGTCCACACTAAGTCCCATCAGGATGACTTCTATATCAGCTCCCAAACTCATTCATCCCAGTCTGTCTCCTCTGAAACTATTCTGTTCTGTGTGGTGAGTTCTTGTGGGAGAGAGCCCTGCCCCTGGCCGCCCACACAAGTCCCCTCTGCCCTCTGATCAATTCTGTACACAACA